GAAGTAAAGGGCAAGCATTTTCCGTCAAAATTCCAAAGAGCACATTTTCCAAGCAGAGACGAATTCGTTGATTCGAAATAAGGCACCAGTATAGTTCAAATTCAATCCAAAACTGTTTAGAGCGTGAGCAGTGATAGAACAAAAATTAATGGGCTAATGATTCAGGTTGATTGTCACAGAAAGTACATAAGTCATTTGTTCTAAAACCTATTTTATACAACTTTGTATTTGTGTAAAAAATCGAGTTAATTACTTTGTACTGGAAGGCTTTAACATACGATTCGACAACGATAGAGTGTGGCAGCTTAAATATTTGCTTCAGATTGTCGCTGTTAAAATGAACGTTACTCTGTAATTTTTGAATAATATTGGGCGGTATAACTTTTTCTGTGATGAGTAGGTTGTAGTAATCCTTTGATTTCCCTTTCGTAACATCAAATTATTGTCACCCACCACAAATGTTGGTGAGTTTATGGAAGGATACCTGTCATAACTTCTTAACGATAATGGAATGGACCTGCGTAAGCCAGCCCATTCTAAAATATTTGTTTTGCATATTTTTTTAGACAGTTGATTATAAGAATCAGTACTGTTCAGACTAAATAAAAGATCCTGAATGCAAATGACTCTCGCATTAACATAATATTTATATAAATCGGCTTGTTTTCTACTTTTATTTCTTTGTTATTCCAGATTATCGTTTTCCAATATTCTTCAGTGGCAAACGTTTAACGAAATTGCGACCACCATAACAAAAGTTCCTGATAAAATTGAGAAGGAATTGTGTAATCCGAGATATTGTAGTTGCAGTTAAAAAAGAACAATCCCCCAACGGGGCTCAGTATGTGTTGTAGGTGGCTTTTCCAAGTTCCATTAGTCCCACTGAAGATACGTTTTAACCAAGCTAATCTCAATGATTTAACCATGCACTCGAGATCAACCATTCTTAGCCCTCCCTCTTCGTAGTCGTTTATAACTGAAGCTCTTGTTACCTTATCTACACCTTTCCAGAGAAATTTAAACAGTATTTAATTCAATTCTTTTAGCAATTCCTTGGGGGTTGGAAGGATCGAACAAATGTAAATGTACTTAGGGATCGATAAGAAAAGATTTGATTATTGTCACCTTACCGTATATCGACAGGCCTCTAGTGGACCATATATTAATAAGTTTTTTAATTGAATCCAGTGGTTCTATAAAATTCTTTTCTTTATGCAATTTTTGGTCATAAATAAAATATACACCTAGAGCTTTTATTGGCTCGTCCAGCCATTTTATACCGAATGGTTTTTCTTTGATAATGTCTCTTAGATCCAATCTGCATACCTTCAGTTTTTGAACAGTTAATCTTGAGTCCAGAGAGAATTTCGAATTTGTTAAGTAGTTCAAATAATTAATCTTGCGGCCGAGCTTGTGTCAGCTAACACAGCGGTTGTATCGTCTGCAAACTGTAAAAGCTTAGTTTCCTCAGTTCCTGTTGTGATTCCTTTAATTGACTCTTTTTGCCTTATAGCAATTGCTAAAGTTTCTATAGCAATTATAAATAAGTAAGGAGAGAGTGGATCACCCTGCCTAACACCGCGTTCCAGAGCTAGTAAAAAAGTTAGAACTAACGCCATTGTTTATAACACAGCTTTGAATGCTGTTATAAAAGGTTTTCACCCATTGAAGGAAGTCTCGACCAAAGTTAAACTTTTTAAGACTCTCAATGAGAAATTCCCATTCCACACTATCAAAAGCTTTTTGAAAATCTATAAACAGCAGTAAACCTGGGATGTTTTCCTTAGCTGTGAAGTCCATAATATCGAAAATAGAACGTAGGTATTGCTTCACCAATGAAACGATCTTTAACATAACTAGTCTGGTTGTAGTGAATGATACTGGGTAACACCTTTTTAACCCTTGCTGCGATCACCTTGGACATAATTTTCGTATCTACATTAACAAGAGATATTGGCCGCCAGTTTTGGAGGAGAGCGCGATCTTTTCCGCTTTTCTCAAGCAGAGTAAATTACAGCCTGTTTTTGTGAGCATGACATTTCCCCCTTTTCGAAGCATTCATTTGCACACCTGATAAAGCTTTCGCTTATTAAAGGCCTAAATTTTCTATAGAATTCAGCTGGAATGCCATCATTTCCATGGGATTTGTTACTCTGAAAGCTATCCAAGAGTACAGAACATTCTTCTGGAGAAATTAATCCTTCACAGGAATTTTTTCCTCCTCTGAATGTTGGGGAATATTCAGATCGTTCAAAAATGAAGATATTTTCTCTCCTATATTAGGACTATTAATGCTGCTTTTGTACAATTCTCTGTAAAAACGCTCTTGTTCTTTTAGTATACAGTGCGGATGCGTTGTAATTTTACCATTTATGCACAGTTTTCTTATATGCTTCTTAACGTGGTTCCTTTTTTCTAAGTTTAAAAAATATTTTGCGCTTTTCTCTCCATGTTCATGCCATCTAGCACGTGCTCGTATTATTACGCCTTTGGTTTTTTCGTCGTAAAACGACTCCAACTTCCCCTGAACTACGTTATAATAGGTTTTGTTATGGTCGTTTGGATTATTTTCAAGTTTACTTTTTGCTTTAGTTAATTCTTCCTGAAGGTCAAGTTTCTTTTTCCCCCTTTCTTTTGCCTTTCTTTTAGAGTATTGAAAAGCATGAGCTCTTATGATATGCACTTTGCCTGTTTTGTTTACCATTACTGCCAGCTTTGTTTGTTTAATTTATTGCCTTTATGATTCACTTGTCATTATTTTTTTTTGAGACGGAGTAGACATCGCGGTCATTCAATTTTTGGACTGGTCTGAAGTTGTCGCACATGTGCGGACCATAATACTTTGCTTCAAGTTTCCTGAACTTTTCGAGCTAGAACACAAAAAACAAACAAAATTAATTAATTAGCTTATAAACGACGCATCATTTGTTTTTTAAACTAACAGTTTGTGGTTCAATTTAAATACAGTGAATGTGTTGGTCTGACACTGTCGCATATGCAACAGAGGAGTCTGCCCGTAATCTTGTAGAATAGGCCTTTTGCAAAATCCTTGTAAAAACTGTCCTTAAATCTTTCCCTTACGTATTTAAGGGCTCAAATTGCCTGTTATCAATAAAAAGGAGATTTGAGCCCTATAATTTCCAAATTAACAGGGTTTGTATGGAAAACCACTTAATCGTGACCTCCAGGGTGGCAAGAATTGTTTTTACCATACCAATCCTCGTAATTTTCAGCGGCCGTTGCCATCGCTAATTTTGCGATATACGGCTGAAAATTTACAGGTTACCTAATTTTAATATGCTCTTTCAGTTCCTACTAACCAAATTCTTCAAAAGCTAACTGTTTTCGTGTTTACAGAAAGTTGAACACGTGGTCAACTAATCAGTGCAAAAGGCCTGTTGACTCCTTTATGCTTGTCTAAGAAATATTAACATACTATACATCGTCTGTTATTCCAATTGTTTGTTTGTATTACACTGTTAAAAACTTTGAAATGTTGGACATAGTAGTCGCTTTTGCTACCGAAATATTCGCCATATGTGGCAAAAGGTCCTCCAATTTATTAAAGGTAAAAACGAGTTGTCCAGTGAGAAGAATGTCTTCCCAACATCACCCCACTTCCAAAGAAAGTCTCATTTATTCCTTTAAAAAATGTCAAAGGACCCGTCAATGCTACTCTGACAGTAAGTGGCTGAACCACTGATGTGTTATCTTAGTAGTTGTAGAGTGTACACTCCTAATTGTAAAGCGTAGAAGTTTCCTTAAGCTAGGTTTAATTCAAGTTAGTTAGTATTACATACCTGGCTGGTAGAAGCGAGGATATAATCTTTCAGAACTATCCACCGAATTGTTTGAGTGCAAGGAGGCGTAGTGAGCGAACCCCGGTAAGTGAAGTAACATTTTAAAGTCAAGCGTTTGGCGTCTCCTTTCTTCTGTTCATTATCAGTATTGTTGTTATTATTTCTGCCACTGACACCATTGTCATTGCCGCCACTATCATTGCCGCCATTACCATTACCACCATTGCCATTACCATTGTCACCATTGCCATTACCATTGCTATTACCATTGCCACCATTATCTTTGCCCTTTTTAATGGAGCAGTTTTTGGGAATGAGATCCTTTAAATAAATTCCATCTTCCTTTGTCACAGGATAGGTATCCCCTGTAAAAATAATATGACAGTGAATTGTACCTTACATTTCAGAGGTCACACGGTAAGATTTTGTCCACAAACTCAAAAGAGATTCGTGAATTTTGGAAAGTATGGTTGTTTTTACTTGGAAGCTATCGAGGTGAGTTCTCAAGATGCAAAAAGTTTACGGATTGTTCTAGGGTTGGAAATATTATCAACTAATAAACGAGGTTCACACACCAGATTTAGACCCACATTTAAAGTTGCAAAATACTTGTCTCCATCTCATTGGCTTTGTAACTGGCAGTTGAACAGAAGGTTTAATGCAATCTTATGGTGGATCAGAGAGACATTATTGTTGATAGCTAACTGCTAACAATTTTTTGATACCCTAAAATAATTGTTTAAGCTATATCTTTTGAAGCCATGCAAGTAACTCGAGGCTCGTGTCTTATCAGTTGTCCAGTAAAACAATCTTACTTTTAATGAAAGGAAGTTAGGGAACAATTTTGAATTTGGAATATATGACTACAAGTGTTGCACGACTCTGTGTGTTTTAAGCTACGTTAAAACTATGCCTTAATCACAGTATCCTGCGGAGGAATTGTCTGCTCCACGTACAGCCGTTCTTTGTGTCGTCACGCAACGTTCCTCCCCAAGAAGAGCGTTGCGTGACGAGTACAAAGAACGGCTGTGAAGCAGACTAGCGGAGGAGGCTTTTAGTTATTGGTCTCATTTTGTATTAGTAGCTTTGTTAGTAGTGGCTTGTGATCTGATTTTGTGATATTGCGGAGCATACCTGCTCTAAAATCTAACGAAAATTATGTTGTTAGCACGAAGATGGTCGGTGCATCCTCCTACTACGCTATGGTATCACAATTAAATGGTAGCTTCTAAATGGTGATGGGTTTTGGCTGTTTCCGTATTCTTCGCTTATAGTTTCTCTAAAACACCTACCAGGCTTGATAATGTGGTGCATCAGATTTGCCAACTTTCCAAAAATTTTGTTTCCCTCGGAAGCTGCCTATAATAATTAAACAATTTAGAATGACGTCAAGATGACGTTCCTCTAATACTACGACCAGAATCCTTCATGGGTTTGCTTTGTTTCAAATTAGGGCTTTGGTAATTGCAACCTCGCTGGGATTACCAAATTTATATATGAACAGGAAAAACGAAAGGATTATGGTCATAGAAGTGAAATGACGCCATCTTCCAAAAAGGCTTGTTATAATTTTAATTTCCACTTCAAGTCACACATAATTATTTTGAGGTGCATCCAAATAGACTTCTCAAGAATTCATTATTTTAATTTTTTTGACTGGTTTAGGTGCCTGTTTTTTTCGAAGGTGACACAACTGGTTAAAAATTAATGAAAGTCTCTGTATGCTTTACATTTCGGCCTTATTTCATTTAAAGGAAATAAAAAATATTCTTGAGTAAATAGACTAGCACTTTCATAGCAAACTGCTCTGAATTATTGGAATTTTTTTGTCTCTGGATGGTTATAGCTACGTTTTGCAAGAATAGGATTTTACTTCTTTAGGAAGGAGGGGAAGGAGAGGGGAAGGGTGCTCTACATATGTAAGTTGAAATGTTTATATAGAGGACGAATTGCTGGAAGGAAGGTAGACTGCAGGTTGTACCTTAATCCAAACGGCTACAACAGCTCGTGGTTCTTCACCATGACCAAATACCATGTGAAGCTGGGGAAGACAAGAGAAGTTTAAGGTCACTCCCGATGAGTTGGTTCAAGTAGGGACCTAGTAGAGGCACTTGATCGTTTAGTGTCTAAATAGTAAGATGTTTCCTATACAACAATAACTTCTGGTTACTCTTTTTCAAGTTTTGCATACTCCCACTTTGTTGCCCACTGAAAGATCACTCAAGAAAGCACTGCGCCTGAAATTGCGAGTAATATGGCTCAGCACTGAATATTGGAAATGTAACTTCCTGGGTAATCATTTCGACCATTGCAGTCGTTTCCCTTAACAAAGATATCACGGGCCATGCAGGATATGAGAACACTAAAATACCGAACTGAGTCAAATGTAAAAGAAAAACGTTTCACGTCGTTGTTATCACTTACCTCACCAGACAGTTGTTTTCCATTGAGCTTGTGTTCAGACCCGCGTTTATTAACACAGCCAAAGTGAACATGAAACTCGAGCAATTCGAATTTGTTATTCCCCAGGGGACCTCCAGTTAATGAAGCTCCATTGGAATCAGCAATTGTAAGTTTAGGTGAATGTCCATTGTTTTTAAGCTTTCCAGTAACAAGTCCCCTTGTGTTGTCAAAAGTGATTTTTAAACGACGGTAGCTTTCTTCCTCAACCTCGCTTGTTTTGATGTTTATTGGGGATTGTTTATCGTCACCACACTGATTGCGTTTATCCAGATTCTCCAGCTTGTGCCATTCTTCCGGACCCATCACTATAACGAACAGGGATGTGGGGAAACAAATTAAAAGCGTAATGTACAAAAGCCTACATTCGTTGGAGCGAAACTTGCGTTATTCGCTCTGACCTAAAACATGCCGTAGTAGTCGCTTCTATTAAAAAGACGACGATAAAAGCCAGGTAGCTTGCAGTTGCTCTTTAAAATCAGGTGTTCATGAGAGTATTGAAATTCGTTAAATTTGGTTTTATTAACGCACTTTTAAGATGATAAAAGCTAATTTTATAAACTATAGAACTATTGTTCTCGTTTCACTCGATCCCAATCCGACGGAACACTCATAATGGTGGTTATATGTGACTTTATCAACGTTGACAAAACTAATTGTAGTTGATAAAACTCAGTATTAGTTCCTGTTTGACTCCCAAACCGACGCAGTTCCGTGCAGTTTGTTTCAGAACCAACCGCTTCAAACATAACGTAAGATAATTAATTCAATCAACCAATGAGACGCCAAAACAAATTCACGAATTTATCACTGGGTTAAAAAGGCTCGTGAGCGAGTCAATCTGACTTTACTCATGATTTGTTTGAAAGTCGCACGAAACTTTTCCACTAATAATACGTTTAGTATGAATTACCAAACTAATTTCTACACTATATGTTCATTAAACTGAAATCTCTTCAGCGGGTAAGTTAGATTAGAATGAAGGAGAAGCCATTCAAAGTCATATTAAGGTGGACGAGAAATATCTGTCTTATAACATGCCTTATTCTCGTCTGGGTCTAAAGCTTATGCTGTCTTCTATGGCTGTATCTTCTTTGAACGCCTCTTTAGGATTTACTATTCTCAAGAAACTGTCATGGATTTCCCAGATCTCGAGGTTCTTTAACAAATTGCCTTTTGCATACCAGATCAAAGTTCGCTCTAATACAGAAGGACAGTAACTAACGAAAGGTTTATGTAGCTCCAGTTTTACTAACCGCCATCTTCTGTGATGTTTACATAGCCCCATTTTCCCTCTGAAAAAGATACAATTAAACATAATAAAGGTAACTATAAATAAAGGGGCTAGTGAACAACGAAACTTTGGTGATGCGTTGATGGTGGTGAAAACGCAAAAATCTGGGTTTATCCTGATTCTACAACTGAAGGTAGACGGGTGAGGGGGGTTTGAGAGGCTTGAGTTTTGCAGCGTATATACCCCAGAAAGCTTCTTTATAGTTTCTTTGTCACTTGATGACTTGTTGGTCGCTCGGCGGTTACCCAAGATGGCGTCTGCTTGTTGGTTGTTAATTGATTGAGTCTTTAAAGGTGTTAAACAATGAATCATGCCCTCTTAAAGTTTCTACATGAAAATAGGGTAAGTGTGTTTGCCATTTACTTGTGTTTTACATAGATGTTAGGTGTTTTTACTCAATTTAGTAAAAAGCTGAAGCACGATTTCTGCATTTTTGGCTAAAAGATGAGCATAATTTACAAAACCAGCACAGTTGTTGGCATAATTTTAGAAATATAGGAGCACTATTAGTAGCACATTATGCTACTTTTGCCAACACAATCTATCAAAGCCTACTCTCAGTAGAGATGTTCTATGTAAGCTTATTAACAATAACGATAAAAAGTAAAAAGATATGAGCGAAAGGACAGCGTTATTTGCCACACCCTAAAACGCTATAGCATCGGGTTTTGACGATATGAAACGAGTTTACGAAATCACAGGTATACATCCTAATAAGCTATACTGGGAGTATAGTTTCAAACAATAACTGCAAATGTTGGGGACAAAAATACGGTTTTAGTTGTTATGTCTTGTACATCACATAATTCACAACTTACCGCTATCGCTATAGACAGCACCAATGGTAGTGAACAACACCAACAACGTTATTACTGATATCATTTCAAGGTTTCTAAAATTCGATCACAAAGCATAAAAACAACAATAAAATCAACTGATATGATATCAAAAAATGAGAGAAATTGACCTTGCTTGACTGTCCTAATGGTGGTTAAAGCGCAAATTCATGAAACAAAACAACAACAAAAAAACTTCAACCTTACTTTTTTAAATCCTAGAAAACAAATTGTACCAAATTTCGAGTGCCTCGAGAAAGGTGTCAATTTTATCAAAGCATTTCTGGGGTCGCAGACTCAAAAAGTGGAATGGCATTAGTTAATAGTCTTTGCTCGAAATCTGATAGGTGTAATTAAAGGTGTTCGATGTGTAAGTTATATCATCAATGAAAGGTGATACATACCTAAGACTATTGTCAAAGGAACTTCACAGCTGCTCTAACCGTTCTTTTTGTCGTATCCAACCGTGCCAGTCGCTTGTGACTGACCTTTTAGTGTTCACGCCACTAACTGAAAAAGAACTAATCTGTCAAAGGACAAGCTCCGAGAAATAAATACTCCTATTAATCAAATTGACAAAAGCACTTAACAAGAGCTGAAATCCTGACGAACAGTATATGTATTTTCGACCTTGCCTTAATATCTTAATTAGGATGAATCGAGAGCGGTTCCAGTGAAGGAGCAGGTAGGCTATGAGACTGTATATTATATTGCGTATTAAACTTGAAACCCTTCATAAAAAAACAATCCACCAATTCAAGATACTTTATTTTTTCAAAAGAGCCTGGGTTTTCAATTATAAGCAAAAAGCAAGAAACTTGGTCGTTTTATGCACGATCAATAAAAGTGGGTATATGTGCAAAAAGCAATAAGCTCGGCATGCACGAAAAGTGGGTGTTCCCTTTATTACGTAACAATCGGAACAATTGAAGGCAATATCGCCAGTGGGCAGTTGACGTTCGGAACTTTTTTATCAATCTCGACTATTTGAAATTTAACTCTGGGCAACCGAACAGCACAAAAGTGGCTAAAACAGTGAACTGAGTAGATGATGGATTGTATTTGTTGCCAATGTTTTAGAAAAACAATGTCTGTTACTAGATACAAATGTTAACAGATTCTAATTTTAGTGCTAGTAAGTAAAAAAAAAACTTTATTCACAAAAAAATAATAAATAAAATATCTGTTAATTTGAAATTCTACATAATTCGTAGACGCTTTTTTTCATGCCAGAGAGTGGACAATGTGAATAATATAATGAAATTCAGACTGCCGATCCTTCAGACACTGGGGGAGGAATGATTGCAATTATTGTAAATTGTGGTCGACAACTACTGTCATTCCGTTTCTACCAAAATGCCAAGCAAGTCAATTCCAACATTATTGTTTATGGGTTCGTATAAACAGGCAATTGTAACATCGCTTCGGAGGAGCTATGTTAAAGCAGGAATAGAGAGGACCAAACGCTAGTTTGGGTCTGACGATCGTCTCCGAGACAAAAGTCGATCTTCACATGCGACGAAAAAAACTAATAATTTGAAAATTCATATAATAATGTATGTGTATTTAGCCTCGCTCGGCTAAAAATGCTTTTTGCTCTGATTCAGTTGATTGGTTCGACGCGTCCTAAGTTTGACGTCTGACCTACCCTGTTCCAGGCTCCGAGATAGTCGGGTCTGCTGAATTGACAAAGCGCAAACACGCCCGGCCAACATTTCGCGTGCCTTTCACTTTCGCGTCTTCCCCACTAACTGAGAGCCTGGAACAGCTTACGTCTGACCCAACAGACGATCTTAACTTAATTTAGGTCGACCCAACTAATTTAGAGTTTGGTTTGTCTCATGAAAAGTTCAACGTTTGGCCTAGGCCTCAGTCTGTAAATTGTTATCCATAGGATCTCTCATTACTTTTAATGTGTTATAGTCTCTTCTTCTTCTTCGTCTTTTTCTCTTCTGTGCGAAAATTTTAGCAGAACGTCTCTGTTATTGCTCCGTTTTTTGAAGCCGCAAAAAATTGCAAAAGAAGCTGTCTACAACACCGCTCTATTGAAGCTTTACTGGTGTCTATGGTCTTTTTAAAAGATATTTTAATTTTCTTTTTTGCATAGTACGATCAGCCTTGCAGATTTTTGTTCACACTTTGGTTGTCTGCTTGTTTTGTTTTGTTTTTTTTGGCTGATCAGAAGAAGAAGAAGAAGAAGAACCTTTATTAATTTATACCGCTCAGGGTAGCCCCTTCAGACGCAAAAAGCCGTCTGTTATCAATGGGAGCCCTGAACAACAAAGCACAAAAAACCACACTAAACATATAAACATTACACTAATACAGGTAATAATATAAATAGAAAACTATTTTCAATTAAAAGATTAAAAGAAGTAAAACACCAAATATCATAAAGATAATTCGTTTTGATTTGTTGATGAAAACATGGACTTGGCGTTGTCATATGGAGAAGACATGTACGACTTTGTAACTCAGTACAAACACTTGTTCATGCATTCATTACTGAATGTATTGAATAACGTGGCATGGTTTAAAAACTATACTTAATAACAAGCTCATTGCAACGTATACAGAACAGTACTAGTGCTGTCCGACTTTTTGGCTCGCTTCCATGTTCTTACCATATTATGCAAAATCCTGGTTCTGGTTTCTTTTCAATGGTTTCCTGTCTTTATTCCAGTAACGCTCACGTGCTAGCAGCTCAAGACATTAACGTTAAGCAACGTTCTGTACTGTTTAAAAATCGAGCAAGAGTGTATTATCAGGTTTCAAAAATCGAAGCGAAGCCGAGAGTTTTTTTTAAACATGATAATACACGACTGCAAGTTTTTCAAACGGCTTCAAAATCTCTGATCAGTATAGATCAACTCATTCTTGCACTAATATTTAGATTTGGGGTTTATTTGGTCTAAAAAATTGAATGTTAAGTTTAGCCTTGTCTTTATCAGATAAAAAGACATTCATTAAAAAATTAAATGCTTTTGCTTTTTCTTTATAAATTATTAATGAGTGTTTGAACCAGATATACTAATGTCAAGTCTGAATTGTAATTATCGCTTCTCAGAACCCCTTATTAAGACACATTTGGAGACAGGTTATTTATAGCGGGTGCCAAACTTTAGAATGTTCTCTGAGCAGTAAATAATTTAAATTCTTATAAAACTCTTCTTACAGCGCATCATTTAAGACAGACATTTTTCTTTAATAACAATCCCAGTCGTTACAATATATTCAAATATTTTAATCATTTTTATATTTTTGGAAAGTGATTCTTCAGTTAAATATCACTAATGACATTATTGATTCTTGAAGAGTTCGTTTTCACACTCAGTTTAGTTTGGTTTCATTGCAAAGAGCGCTAGATCATATTTACATGTCATATTTTGCAGGAGGGCTATGAGACTGTATCAGTTATATTGCCTATTAAACTTGAAACCCTTCATAAAAAACACTCCACCAATTCAAGATACTTTATTTTTCCAAAGACCTTTGGCTTTTAATTATAAGCAAAAAGCAATAAACTTGTTCGTTTTATGCACGATCAATAAAAGTGGGTAAATGTGCTAAAAGCAATAAGCTCGGCATGCATTAAATTACGTAACAATAGGAACAATTGAAGGCAATGTCGCCAGTGGGCAGTTGACTTTCGGAACTTTTTTTTTTATCAATGTCGACTATTCGAAATTTAACCCTGGGCAACCGAAGAGCACAAAAGTGGCTAAAACAGTGAACTGAGTGGATGATGGATGATATTTGTTGCCAATGTTTTAGAAAAACAATGTCTGTTACTAGGTACAAATGTTAACAGATTCTAATTTTAGTGCTAGTAAGTAAAAAAAAACTGCATTCACAAAAAAAAAAAAAATTGATTAAATATGTGTTAATTTAAGATTCAAGATAATTCGTAGAAACTTTAATTTCTTTTCATGCCAGAGAGTGGATCATATTTACATGTCATATTTTGCGTTACATAAGAAGTAAATTATTATCATACTCACGTGGGTATTGCGAGGCAACATTTGGTAAGTTTGGCGAGGAAATGAAATTTAAAACTGTTTTCGAAGTATTGGGCCATTATCGGTGAGCTAGCGTCTCTTCCCTACCGTTTTTTCTTGTAACTCAAAGCGTTGACACCCTGTACAAAGGCAAATAAAGACAGCTAACATTATTTGCACTTTATTGAAGAATCTCACCATTTAAGTGCGGCATGTTTGTACATAAAACACAGATCGAGATAAAGGAAGTAGAATTTTACCCGTGAATTTCTATGTTTGTAATTGGTTGTTTTAGGGTATTGTTGTCAAAACCTACTCGTCTGGGATAGCAATATAAAACACGATGTCTGCTTTTCTGATATTTGAGTTTCAGTAGTTTGAGTATTTCTTCCAAACGCTCGAAGTTGTTTCACCCAAGAATCCATGCACGATTTGCTTCCAGGCTCTTACGCTGTCGGGCATTTGTAATTTATGCAGTTTCAACCAAAAATAAACCGCATGCGAATCCCCTCCTAGGTTTGTCCGAATTATTGATCATACTCTAGGATTAACAAAATCCATTTGGGGAGCCGGACGTATATAGATATTTACCTTGTTGAGCTTATATCCTATTTACAACCTATTCACAATATCTTATCTTAATGGTGTGTTTGTTGGTCACCTTCCGGTAATGAAGCTGAAACATCAATATACTAACAAAGGCAAACGTTTGAGTATTTCTTTCAAACGCTTGAAGTTGTTTCACGCAAGAAGCCATGCACGATTCTCTTCCAGGCTCCCACGCTTTCGCGCATTTGTAAATTATACAGTTTCAAACAAAAAAACCGCATGCGATCCCCTCCTAGGTTTGTCCATACTCTAGGATTAACAAAATATATTTTGGGAGGTACGTAGATATTTACCTTGGTGAGCTTATATCCTATTTACAACCTATTCACAATATCTTATCTTATTGGTGTGTTTGTTGGTCAGCTTCCGGTAATGAAGCTGAAACGTTAATACACCAACAAAGGCAAACGTACTTAGATATATAATCACCGATTAACTCTAGCTCTTATTTTTTGGTATGTATTCAAAATGTTTCTCTGTTTCTGATTGACACAAATTCCCCGACTAATTCTTTATATCCAGCTAGCGTTGACTATTTATTTGCAAGACATTTGCCATATCCCAGGCTAGCAAAATGACGCCAATAGTACCGGATATCGAAAGAAAAAAGGTACGACTGCCTAGAAGCCCTTGGGACGAGGTTGCAGTCGCTCAGCTGTTAGTAGAGAGCTTTAGATTCTAAGACGAGAACGACTACGAGTACGAGATTTTCTCAATGCTAAGTACTGCTCGCGCGTGAGGCAGCGTCATTTTGGCGGGAAAACGTTGTAGCCGTCGTCATTCTACTACGAGTTTTAACAAGAGTGTCGTGGCGGCGGGAACAAGTTATCAAATGTTAGAAGTTTTAGCAGTTTGGAATCGGGAAAGAGCTCAACCTCCTTCAATAACGATAACAGTTCTAACTTTACTGGTGAAAAAAAGTACAATGAAGAATTCCGGGATGTCTATTTTTTGAGAATACGCGAAAAAACTTTGAATCAAATCTCGTACTCGTAGTGGTTCTCTTCCTCGAATCTAAAGGTCTCTAATTATATAGTCCTGGAAAAAAATGCGGAAAACTTGGCACGTTTTGCGAAGAGAAAATTCCCGAACTGCTGCCTAATGACATAGTAAGGAGAGCAAAAATACAACTAGATGGACGACAACTGCTATTTCAATAACATCGCTCGAGGTATAGCATAGTTATTTAGCTTGTTTTTGAAGTACAGTGAAACCTGTATTAAGCGGACACCCTCGGGGAATGCTGTAGTGTCCGCTTAATACAGGGTGTCCGCCTAATACAGGTTTCGATAGATCAGTCATATGAGGTGTCAAATGCCATTTCAATAAACAGTGGAAAGGTGAAGAATACTCCCAGAGATTTTGACGATATACGTTTGCATTAATTTCTTTATCAAAGTGGACCAGTTGATCATAATTCCATAAACATAGATTGCAACTCAAATTTGAAGAAATCAGATGAGTGAAACAAGCTCTATACAAACAGAACGAAACAGAAAACAATACTGTACTGTGAAATTAATCAAATCAGTGTTCGTCAAGTCACCTTTTTTAATGTAAAAATAGAAAAATTTGTGGGTGGTATTTCGAGATAATCTTTGCATTTCCGGTGTCTGGTATGTTGGGTGGTGACATTTGATTACAAATGTCCGTTTAATACAGGTTGGTAACAATAGAAATGACCATTTCAGGTGTTTTTTAGGTGTCCGCGTCTGCTTAAAAGAGGTGTCCGCTTAATAAAGGTTTCATTTAAAGCAAATACAGAAGGGAAATAAATTTTGGGACTTCGGCTACTGTCCGCTTAATACGGTGTCCGCTTAATACAGGTTTCACTGTATTATAAATTAAACCGTCCTTGATCTGCACATCCCTTCAGATAATACGAAAGTCGAATTCATTAATTGTTAATTCATTGACAAACGTAATTGCGCAGGTAGCAGGGGCACCCAACGAGAATATAATTCAAAACCACTGAAACATATCATTGTTGAATGTATTTTAGT